GTGGATAAGTTTCTCAGTGGCACTGCTAAATGATCTTTTCGTCTGGCAAAACATTTCTATCAAACTCAATTTTTGAGTTTTGTTGAGGAAAAGGTTTTGCTCAAATCTGTGAGGTGGTGATTACTAAGACAGCACAAACAATTCCTCCGTTCAGGTTCTGTCATGGTTTTCGATTGGGATGACTGAATGAGTCCTCCTAGTGTTTTATAAGGAACTATCCAAGAGCGTTCCAGTTGCCTGAGCAGCATGGTTGTGGTATGATAAAATGATTAAGTCTCTGGAGTCAGAGTGCTCAATTTCTATCCTGGTCCTGCCACTTCCTATCTGTGTGATCTTTGGCAAGTTACTCAGTCTCTCTCTGGCCTTAATTTTTTTTATCTATAAAATGCAGTTGTGGATAATAATGGTACCTACCTTATTGTAGAGTTATTGTGAGTCAATTTGTGTATAGGGTTTAGAACAGCACCCATTTGTACTTAGTTTACACTTAGCACTTGCTTTTACTATTTTAGCAATATTTACAATGGTGACTTTTACTTAGTCACATCTGGGGTGAATCATTAAAGACTGAGATAGGTACTGTGCCTATTAAAATAGGGAGAATGGTAGGTTGGCGAGCAGATTCTAGACTGTAGAAAGGGGTCTGGAGATACCTAAGTAAAACCCCTTAGATGCTCTTAGTCAGGGAAGTGTCATGTTAATCAGTAGGCTAATGTCATGGGCTGTATCAGATATAGAGATAGAATTATAAGTCTCTATCTATAACTCCTTCTGTACTTAAAGGCCACTGGTACAAGGCATTTGTCTCTTTTCTACAAAAGGTTCTGACTCCCCATATAAAAGGTAGTCACATTTCAGATTCAGCTGGGAGGGAGTGGTTATTTAAATTAGCTGAGATGAGGCTGGGACCCAAAACAAGTCCTATTCACTGTCCCTAAATGAATTGAATTCCATCATCTTATTTCACATGATTCTTAGTGACCTCCTATTGTTCAGTATGTGCTGCAAAATATAATTGCTATACTTTGTAACTAGAAAATGGTATTTGAGATTGTTTTAACTTGCGTATAGACAGGAGCTGTGGGCTTACTTGCAATTACTTCTGCCACCTCTCAACTCTCTTTCCTTCAACTGTTCCTTCATTGCCACACTGTTTCAAGAGCCTACATATTTCTTATTTTCTTTTTATTGTTTTTGGGGTGGGGGGCAGTTATAGAATGGACATTTACTATATTTTGTGTCCCAGGTATGGTGCTAGGCAGGTTTTTTGTTGTTATTGTTTGTTTTTGATTTTAGTAAAATACACTTAATATAAAATTTACCTTCCTAACCATTTTTAAGTGTAGGGTTCAGTGATATTAAATACATTCACACTGTTGTGCAACCATCACCACCATCCATCCCCATAAATCTTTTCATCTCGTAAAACAAATTCTATACCTCTTAAACAATAACTCCCTGTTCTTCCCGCCCCCATCGTGGCAACCAACATTATACTTTCTGTTTTTATGATTTTGACTACTCTATGTACCTCATGTAAGTTGAATTACACGGTATTTTACTTTTCGTGACTAGCTTATTTCACTTTGCATAGTGTCCTTAGGTTCATCCATGTTGTAGCGTATTGCAGAATCTCCTTCCTTTTTAAGGCTGAATAATATTCCGCTGTAGGTATATACCATGAGTACTTATCCATCGATGGATACTTAGGTTGCTTCCAATTTTAGCTACTGTGAATAATGCTGCTATGAACATGGGTGTACAAATATCTCTTTGAGATCCTGTTTTAAATTCTTTGGGATATATCCAGAAGCAGACAAGATGATGGTTGACAGAGAGGAGGGGTGTTGGGGGATGGGTGAAAAGGTGAAGGAAAGTAAGAGGTACAGATTTTCACTTATAAAATAAATAAGTCATGGGGATGTAATGTACAGCACAGGGAATATAGTCAATAATATTATAATAACTTTGTATGGTGACAGATGGTTGCTGGAGATATTGTAGTGATCATATCATAAAGTATATAAATGAAGAATCACTATTAGTACACCTGAAACTAACATAATATTGTACACAACTATAATAAAAAAAATAGAATTACTATATGACCTACCTATTTATTTCTTAATCTTTTTACTCTACCAAAGACTCAGTGCCTTTGATAGTGGTCAATTTCCTTTTCCCTTGCTGACTGACTGCTTGACTATGATGTAGTGTGAATTCGTTTTAATCTTGGTCTTACATCAAGCAGACATTTTTATTCCAAGCCTTTAATCTCTAACTGTGAAATGAAAGTCTTTGTTCTCTATTAAAAGGATTCAAACATTCTGGAGCAGATGGGAGATGGTTTGGGGGATATGGATAAAATTACACCATCCATAAAGCTAACCTTGAAAGGTAAACCCAATTTGGGTATTTCAGATATGAGTGTAAGATAACAAGAGGAAACTGTGGAGGTATGCTCCTTTATTTATCTTTCTTCTTGTTCTCCCTGGCAGGGTTCTTGGGAAAGAGCAGCTAGGGGATAATCTGGCTATGACATTTGACATCTATTCCTAGAAGGCTTAGCATTTCAGGAAATTTCTATATTATATTTACTATAATCAGCCTTTTATATCTTTCATATTGTTCCTTGTTCTAAAAATACAAATGCAGACCTCTCTTTTTCCCCCCTCTCCCCAAAAAGTCTAAGGCGCACTATAGGCCATGAATAAATGTTATGGATGAAGGCACTTTGGGTTAAAAGAATATTTCTCTTTAGAGGGATTGAAATAATATTATGGCGAAGTTGATGATATCTGGAAAAGCTTGTGGATGTTAAACTTTCAGAAATAGTGCTCATACTTCATGAAGTTTCTTATTCTTTGGTTTTGGGGTTTTTTTTTTCTTTTTGAAATAAAGATCTGGTCTTTTTATGTTTTAGTCACCGAAATGGAGGGTCTTGGTGGGTGACTTTCCTGGGAGACAAATGGAGCACCTGGTACTTGGACATATATCTTAGTGAGTACTTTAAAGGCCTAGGTCACAAAAGAGATGCCTAGCATCCTGGCATATACAACTTTCAGTATGTGCAGCTGATATGGCTCAATGAGATGTGTTCTTGGATCAAATTACTAACTGGCTACAAGATGTCCCAGCTGACACTCCTGTGTCTACTGGGGTTCAAAGAGTGTTGTTGAGATATGGGTTTGTTCCAGAACATCCATAACCAATACAGACATGTTCTAAATCTACTAGGAGATAGAAAGTATCAGGGAACCTCACTGAGACAGCTGGTTTTGGAATGTCATAGACCTGAGCAGCAACTGTATTTGTAAGATATGTAGGAGTGTTGAAGACAGTGTCAGGATGTTTACAAACAAGGACTCTGACATTAGATTGCTCAAGTTCAATTTCTAACACAACAACTCCCTAGCTTGGTGACCTTGGGAAGTTAGTCTCTTTCAACTTCCATTCTTCATCTGTGAAATTTATATATACAATGGAAATAGTGATACTGAAATCAAAGGATTAATATGAGTATCAAATTATATAATAAATGGAAAACATCTAATTTAATGTTAACTCTCAGTAAATATTAATCATTTTTTGTTATGTTTGATAGTTCTGTGTTCTTAAGACAGAATTATTTTTGTATTTATTTATTTCCTGCTATTCCTCCATTCAGTGATCATAGAGAGGCAGAATTTTGTGGTTGGGAAAAATTTAAGAATTATATAACTCTATCTTTTCACTTATCAAATAAAGACTGGAGAGGTTAAATAATTTTCAATAAACCATTGCTTCTTAAGGTTTGAGAACCTCTATTACTATTATCAGTGAGGTATGTTTAAAATGGATTTTATGGTTTTCAATTTGCTTTCACATTCATTATAAGTCACTTGGTCCCCTCAACATTCCTGTGAGATATTCAAGATGGGTTTCTTTATCCTTGTTTTGCTGATGTGGAAACTAAGTCCCCCTTAGGTAACTTTCTGGGTCGTAAAGCTTGTTCTTGGCTGGGCCAACATTGGAAATCAAATCTCTGAGTTTAGGCTCTTAAACTAAAAATACTTTCATGACATCATAAGTCCTTGTTCATGTCAGACCTTTGGGTTTCCAGCATGTGTGTAGAGTTCATAGGACACTCAGATTGAAAGGGACATTTAATATTCTCTAGTTAGCTCCCTCACTGAAGTCCACAGAAATTAGATGACCTAACCAAGTTTGCATAGCTCTAAAGGTGGCAGGGTGGAGACTGGATTTCTTGTTTCTGGAAAAGCTTTCTTTCTACTAGATCATGCTGGAAACTCCCTTTTTTTGTGCTCTTTATAAAAAGGGAATAGGAGAAATAAGTACAAAGCAGGTCTGGTTTGGATCCCAAGCTAAAGGGATTTATTTGCAAGAGATTCTAGAAGCACAATAACTAGAAGGGTCAAGGGATTGTGAGATTTGGGGCCCTTTAGTGCCTGTGGTTACTTGCAGGATTTGTGTGTTAGTTTTGTGAGATTTTTTCCACCTGTGGACATTTTTTGACCAATGGCTATTATTATAGTTATTAAGAAAATCATATTCAATTTATTATTTGGACTGAAAGTCCCTTATTTTTAAGATACTCAATTCTTTAACACTAGGGAGCTGGAGTTGGGAATGAGCAGAGGGTGTCTGGGTGTTGCAGAAAGGCAGAAGCAGTAAGCTTCTTCACAGTTCATTAGCACAAAAAGGAAGCAGAGATTTAAGGCAGATGGTTGAGATAAGAACAGAGATGGTATATGTGGCTGGAGTGCTCCTTCTGCTCTATTCATTAGAAACCTCAATATGGGGGACAGAGGAAAGTGAGAAAACCTAACAATAGTTTAGCATTTACACAGCATGGTGGATAATTAACCACACATTTTAATTGAATTCATTAGTTTATTAGTGAAAGAAATGAGCCTCTTTCTTGCACACTCAAGGTAATTACAAGTATATCCACCATGTGTCCCAATAGCATAACACTAAAAACCATAAAGCTGCTGCTGTCATGCTAGTGCATATTCAAATGTCCCTTTATCAAACTCTTCAACTTCATCTTCCCATGTAGAGGACGGCATGCTACTATACGGGTCTAGAAGGATTTTGAAGCATCTGATAATAAGAAGTCCCAAGAAAATACACAAAATTCCGACAAAAGCAAAGCCAGCTTTTTGCTCCAGAGTCAATGAGAAAGCTGATACTTCGTTGACACTCATCTTAGCTGAAGAGTTACCACAGTAGGTACTACTCATTATTCACTGTCACATCATTGTGGTTCTTCAGAATTCCAGCTGGAGTCACCTCTTGGCCTAGACACAAAATTAGAATCAGTTTAGTGGTATAATGCAGGTACTTGTTTTATAAAATCTGGCATTTTTCAAACCCTCTTAACTCACAAATGTTTGAAAACATCAGATACAAATCATGATCAAATTAGCACTGGAGATGCTATTTTTATTATAGTAATTACAGAATTGCCTTTGTGGGCACATAAAACTGTGCCTATAAATACTAAATATAAAATCAAGTATGAAGGTAAATATTGAAATAATTAACCCTAAAAGCTTTTAATCAAAAGCATTGCGAAGTGGTTAAGTCATTGCTTCTTTGATCCAAATTGTCATCTAATTTCCCCATGTGTAGATAATACCATAAATAATTATAGGGGGTGAGCTGGTTAAATTCTCTAAAGAACATGTTTCAAGCTCTGAGTCCAGTATTATTTTGTCTGCTACAGATTCTAACCCTTTTAATGTCTTCTTTTTCACCCCTTAGCTTTTAGATTTATGTTTTTATATTTTCTTTCCTACTGCTACTCCATACATTAAATGTCAATTTCTCAAAGAAAGAAATTGTGTTTTTAAAATTTTGTTTGTAAGGGCAGTACCCAATACATCAGCTTGCAAATAACAAGCAGCAGTAGCTGTGGACCATTAGCCATCTCTCCACCACCTCCATTAGCTTTCAGAACACCCTAAATAAACATAAAATTCAAATTAAACAGTGTATTTTCTTTGAAAATATAGCTTCAAGGCAAACTCCTCAGTCCCTTGCCAATCAGATTCTCACTCATAAGCTACTACACCGAGATTCTAAGACTATAACGAAAGTATTGAGAAGGTGTGTGTTGAAGCAACAAGTATTAGAGGGTGTGTGTTGAAGCAAAAAAAAAAAAAAAAAATCCCATTGATGTCTTAATTCTAATAAAAATTAGAATTAGTTAATTGATCAATGGTTATTAACTTACAGCCACCCTTCTTGAAAGGACTGTTACAAAATAGCTTGCCATCCAATAACTGAGAATGATAGATGATAGATAATCATTAGTGTTTTCATTTTTGTTGTCATTTTGTTTCATTTTTTATGTTTTGTTGTTGCATCTTCTGATAATTTTTAAGAACTATGTTTATTAAAATGACTGGCTCTTCAGATTTTTTTGAATGGAAAGTGAGGAGTGGAGAAAGGGAGTAGTTAATAAGAATAAGCCTTGTAGCTTTCAGAAATTTTTACCAACTAATATAACAGTTAATGTCAAATGATATTTTATTTTATAAGGGCTTAGATTACGCAGGAGCTTTATTTTCAAACCTTAAGTGTCAGAAATATTCGGTACATATGGGGTATGCTGGATACTTGACTTTTTTTTTAATAAAAGGAAAAAGTACTGTTTTAAACTCCTTTGTTGAATTTCTTTCCACCAAATCATTTTTCTGACCCCAACAAATATGGTATAGTGAATATACTTTCTTATTTTTTAAAATTTAGGATCACTTAAGTGGCTCAGAGTGATTTTTCTGAAGATTGAATTCTTGTTGTATAATCCTGTAGAAGACATAGGAAACTGGACTGAATATCTAATGAACTTGGGACTTAATAAGAAATTTTTTTCCGACTAAATCTCTAATTTTATTGCTTTTGTCAATCAAAGGTCTTTTGTTGAGATCCATACACTGTTTAATGGGTGGAGAAACTGAAAAGCAGGATGTTTTTACCTGAGATTCTGGACCAAACATTTGTCGAGTTAACTGACTGATTCAACCAAGTAACTGGTTTAAATTACTTTCTCAGTAGAGCCATACCATTAGAATATTTCAGGGGATATGTGAGTGAGAGGAGGCAATAAAAGTGGTTTACTGGTGGTCACTGTGGTGTGCCCAGCAGATGCCCTTCAGTGAAGGATTTGTTGCCAGCAGCTGGAAGTGCTGCCAGTAGATAGTCTTCAACTGCCGGCCCCTTTAATAGATTGCCTTGACAGCAGAGAGCTGCCTCACCAAGGTCAGGCCACTTCCTAGTGCAGACCGTTTTCAATGACTGATGTGAGAGTAAAAAGGCTTGGCCATCTTGATTCAAAGGGGCACAACTCTGAAGAACCATTCTAGCTCTAGAGTTCTACATAGGGTAAACCGAGGCTGTCATTGGTTCCAAATCACAGTTCAACTTCTGCCCGTTCCTATATATCTACCCACTCTTCCACAGGGACTGAGCCCAAGGACCTACTTAATAAACATACTACTCACTACTCTTTCTCAGAGTCTGGTTTCTGAGAACCCTGACCTGCAGCAATTGGGGATCTGTACATTTTTCAACTAGTTCATTTTGCCATTCTATAGAAATAGCCTCAATTGAGTATAGTTATGATATCAGTTAATTTTATTTATATGTTTTTAAAAATCATAATGTAGATAATGACAGAGTGATAGCTGATCATTAGAAAAGTTAAGTCTTAGTAAGTTGGCTCTTAGCCAGTGATTAATCCACTGGAGCCTGTTATTCTTATTAAAATCCACCAACTGACTAAACAAACAAACAAGAGGTATTTTCTAGCTGTAGCAATAAAACATCCAACTCATTTGTCACTGTTAAATTAAAACAAAGTATCTTCCTAGTTAGAGATGTCTTATATTATAATTTGTCTAACATATATCATATAAATGCTTTGTTCTTAGAGTCTTAGACAATCTGTGAATTGAGGTACTTATCATTTTTAATGGAAAAATAACTACTTCTTAAGTAGTGGTTACATTTCCTTGCATAATGTAGGTAGTCAATAAATATTTGAATTGAATTAACCTAAATTTGTTAAAGAATATAATCTTTGATAAATAAAGTTCTGGTTTTAAAAAATCTAAGTTTGAAATGAGTTCAGTGTTGCTGTTTTTTTTCTTTAATAAGATTGATTAATATAGCATCCGCCAAAGGATTCACATGATTTGTAGTATTCAAAAGTAGAGAAAGCAGATCTTTCTTTAAAATCTTGTAAGTTGCCTTTTATAGTCTGAGGAAAGATATGTAGCCATCATATTATTTTGGTGTTAACCACCATGAAATTGAGTTAAATTTTGTATTCAGTTGCAGTGACTTTGGTTAGCTTAAAATCTCTGGTATAAATATTACTTCTTCCTCTGTTGCTGCCTAATTTATTTCTTGACTGCTCCAGTTACCCTTAGCTAAGAAGGGTAAGATACTTTAAAGATATTTAGCTGAGATATTTCAATGGATTTTGGAATCAGGTAAGGGTACAAAAAATGGAGGTACAAAACCAATGTTAGTAAATAATTAAAGTCATCATTTTTTATTCTAACTTGGAGGAATAGATAGATGGTTATTTCATGGCTTTAAGCATAATTTATAAACTTTCTTTGGCTCTCTATTGTTGGTACAAATATAGAAGAAATGCAGTATACCTAGGACTAATGCTGAGAAGTGACCAAAAACTTTAGGGATACTGTCGGAAAGTATGTAAAGAGCTGAATGAGCTTAAGGTAGCATATAGTAATGAACATAGCAATAATACTTTAATCATTGAAAAATTTATATTGAATATGTGCTATGTGTCAGCACTGTTCTTGGTGCTAAAGTCTAGTGGTAAACTAGAAAATACTGTATACCTGCTGTAATGAGTGTTAGATCCTGGTGGTGGAGACAAAATTATTTTTAAAATTATCTATCTAGCTATCTAATCTATCATCTTTCTCTGGATAGTATGTCAGGTAATCATAAATGCTATGAAATAAAGCAAAGCAAGTTAAGAGGAAAGAGAATAATGGTAGATAAAGGGCACTCGTGTAATTAAAGAAGTCAGAAAAGTCCTTCGTACGGAGATAACATTTAACCTCCAACACAAATGACGTCCAGAAGGGAGCTGCCGTGAAAATATCCGGAGGAGGAACATTAAGTTTGAGAAAACAAAACAGCCGTTGCAAAGTCTTTGAGGTGGGAGGATTTCATATGCAATATGTTCAGATCAAGAAATTGACTAATGAAGAATTAAACTCCCTACTTATGCAAGATGGTTTAATGGTATCAGATGACAAAGAAAAAGCAGACCTGCTTAATATACTTCAGTATTTTTAATCAATGGAAAATGAATGGTCTTTAGAAATGGCCAAAAAAAAAAAAAAAAACCAACAAAAACAAAAAACAACCAATAAAAGGGACAAGAATGTAGTAGAATATTGTTTAGCCACATTAGATGAGTTAAAATTCCCAGGATAAGGTGATTTATAACTTGCATCTACAGAAACCTTTCAAAGCCTTTGAGAAATACTTGACCATGAAATTCTTGACTGCCAGAAAGTATGGATGGGGACGAATGTCTCAATTTTCAGAAAGAGTAATGGGAAATTGTGAAAATTAAATGTTGGTAACTTGGAATTAATCTTTGTCACAAGTCCATAATTAATTACTTAATAGGTAATTTGCATCATTTAAGTAGTCACTAAAAGTTAACATGAGTTAACTTTGCTTCCTTTTTGGAAAATTTACCACTAATATGAAGAATCAGGGAAATAGCATGGACATGGTTTAATGATTTTAGCAATGCATTTAACAGTTTCCCATGATATCTTTTTGGGGAAGATGGTGAGATATGCCTGGATAATAATATTTTTATGTGGATTCATATTTCTCTGACATGCCCTAATAAATGTTGGTTTCTGTGATCAGGAACAGCTCTCCAATGTAGTTTCACAGAAGTCTAACTCTTTATAGCGTTTTCAGTGTTTTTCAACAGTGACTAGTTTGACGAAAGACGTTGAAGTTATGATTATTACATTTGGCACAAAGCTAGGCTAAAAACTATATGATTGCTCACAGAATCAAGATTCAAGACAATTCTGATGATTGAAATTCTGGATTGAAACCAGAACATAAAATTAAATGAAAACCCTTCTAATGTTCTGTATTTAAGTGGGAAGAAGTGAGATACAGCAACCCCAGATCAAGGAAACAACTTGGAAGTTATTGTGAAATA